GGATAAATATATACAACTTATTACATATTATAGATTTAAAGATAAAAATTATTAATAAAAACAAAAAATGCTCTCATATCGGCATATATTCATTGTAAAAAAATATAAAGCTTATAGTTTGATTTGAGAGCCACTCACACGCTGTTCACTCACACATGTGTTTATTTATAGTTTCTTTCTATTTTTATCACTCCTTATTTACGCGGAGAAAAAAATAAGATGAAGCTTACAGCTCATCAACTACGCAGCTAGTATAATAAATACATGAATCGCAAAATGTTAATCCATAATAATGTAAATAGGTTGTTTTTTCCAAAAAGCTAGAAGAGATTGTTTCTCTTTTATAAGTATTATACATTATATTATAAAATATTACATAATTCTTAATTGCATTCTAATTGCTTTCAAATTTTTTCATATTTATATTTAACATTTATTCTAGAAATAACTTGGGAAATATAATAGAATAATAGATTATAGCTTTTTTTTTGGCATTTTTACGCCAAAAATTGTAGAATTATCCTAAAATTTTTATTTTCTCTATTTTCTCTATTAATACATTTTTATTATATAATAAAATTACAGATAATTAATGACATCAGAATTATTGAAATGAATGGTCTCGTAAGATAACAAAAAACGTATTTTGATTGACCTACTGACGAATTATTTTATCAATTACGAGAAAGATCAGTATCAAGCAAAATCAGTATACGAGAAATCCGAATTAATTTTGTCATTGATTATAAAAAAATCATAATAATCTGATATATTATTGCAATTTGTTTTTAATCGATCAATTATCATTATCATTATTGCTTCTTTATTGGTGTCTTAAACAAAATGAAAATTATATTGTACAAATTAAATATTTTAGTGTCAGATATCTTTATGACAAAGAAGTCAGTGAGATTTCTCATGACTATACGATAATATTAAGTAATCGAACCAACGTTCACCAAGAGCTACATTATTAACTAACCGCATTTTGCATAACATTGCCGTGCCGGGTCGATGACTCCGACGGTATCTATTTGAACCTCGGAAGATACTTCTTCCTTTACATATTTTACAGTTATTTACTATTAAATGTAATTTTTTTTATTCAATTATATTAATTATAATTACGAAGTCAATTAATTTTTTTCTATTTCGCAATCTCACATCGTTTCAAGTATTTATTATTCTCTATTATTATCCTATCTAGGAAATTAATATTTTTTCGATGTATTACATTATGTATTTTCTTAATGAAACTATTATTTGATAATATCTTCAGTGATGTTTCTCAGTGATATTAGTCGGTCGAGCAAGTGAGAGATTTATTGGTTGTCACAATAGAGTAATTACGCCAGAAAGACTAAGACAGATTGGGATCTTCAACGTCATAGTCTATTTATCACATTAAATCCAGAAGTAAACTGGTTCACTGTCACGCGGCTGTATCATACAGAGAGAAAGGAATATCCTCCTACAACCGCAATAACCAAACTCCGAAGCTACCAGGAATATGAAAGAAAACATACAGGAAGAGATATACGAGGAAAAATGTACTTGACTAGTTTATAACGTTTTATGGAAATGTCTAAGGACATTTAATTAAAAATAATTTTAAAATAATTATAAGAGACGAGAGATAAAAGTATAAGAATGAAATAATGAAAATGAGTCAACTTTATCGTGTTGTTATTAATGTTTAAAAGTGAACGGTTAAGATTTAAAATAATAACATCGAATTATTTACAAAGAGAATAAAGATGAGATAAGAAAATTAAAAGTAAGGCTGACAAGTTTTTGGCTGGGGCTGCGATAGAATATAATCAGTGGGATCTAAAAAAGTGACTGTGAGAACACACAGCAATCATATTCGTAATTATTACTTAGCTACTGTACTCTTTGCTCTCTCTCTGCTGAAGAGCAAAACACGCTTTCAACTTTTCCCTTTCTATCATCTATAACAACCAAAGGAACGATGCGTGATATACGCGATATAGTTCGAACTGTGTCTTACTTTCGACAAATTTTTATACGATTGCGGCTGCTGTGCAATACACTCAGCACGCATCGATCAATCACCTCACGGTGATCGATAGACACGCTCGTCAGTCGGCCTTTCTTACTAAAGCAGGATAGAAAAATTGCATGATCGATGGTAGCTGAAAATATAATCCTTCGAAATACTATCGCGTGCGTAGGATGGCAGCGCGGGAGATAATAGGTGTCTCGACAACATCTTGAGACTTGCGGTGGTAAAAGAGAGAAGAATGTAGATAAATAATGCATCCGTGGTAATCACGGTACGTTTCTTCTCGACTCCGAGAAAGGAACAGTAGGTCACCTGGTGCGACAGAAAACGCGGAGTGACCCGATGTTTCTTTCTCAGTATTAGAGACAAACGGCTACCCTGACCTCCTCCACTATGAAAAGTCGATTTTTCAACACTATCAGCGATATTAATATATGAGTCAGTATAAATAATTTGGTATATAATTAATATAATAATAATTTATAGCAATACTGTGTGATTAGAAAGTCATAAATTAGAAAGTCAAACGTGTTAAATCAGATAAATCGATGCATGTATTGCTTTTTATATGTAATTTATAAATAATAATAGTGAAATAATTTTAAGAAAAATATGGAATTATAATATCGGAGTATTAATTTATGTTAATTAATAATTGTCTTTCACTTTTTGTGTAAATTTAACATTACTTTTTGATTTTAAAAATCAAACTTCAAGAAATAAAAGATTAGTACATATTTCTGCTGAGAAGATTAGAGGATAAGCAATCGCAAACAAGTATAAATAGCATAACATAGTTAATAGCATAACATAGCATTTGTAAAATTATCTTAAAAAATCTATTAAATAGTTAATTAAATATATATATAAACATGAGATTTTTAGTTAAATTTTTTTTGTATAATTAAGAATTTCATTATTCTGACGTAAAATTTTTGTTCTTGCAAAGATTATAAACAACGAATTTTTTTTTATAATGTCAGAAAATTACAAAGTGCTAAAATTACATTGCGTAGAAAAATGTAGAGAAGAAAAATATTATTTTTTGCGCATGAATCTGAAATCAGCTAAATTTTACGCGAAAGAATTCAAAATCTGCTTTACATGATAAATCACATTCTCAATTAACACGTTTACTATGTCATACCACGTATAGGTATTCACGGTACAATAAGCTGCATAAGCAATGATCTATACCTACTTATTTAAACTATTTGTACTTATTTATAACCTTATTTATTCTCTGATTTTCTTAATAAACATTTTTACTAAACATTTCTTTAAGTTTACAAAATAAGAAATATTAATTTCAAATTTAAATAGAAAAAGATAAGTTTAACATATACATAGTCATTAAATATATACATTAAAAAAACATTACAGAAAAATTTACATAATTTGTGTAATCAACGATAGTGCAATTAAATATTTGCTTATAGAATAACATAATATTATTAAAGATTTAATAATCTCTCAGTAAAGAAGTTTTTCTGTTTCCTGCGCTCGTAAAACATGATCGTGTCATGGTATCTGGATAAATTGCGTACGCTACTACATAAACTTCTAAATACAGAGAGACTATGCGCATAATCAGCGTATAATTCATTTAACACGGTTTATTATTGTTTATTCTTCCGTCATTCGTGCAAGTTCCGCATTTGCATAGTTATCTTCTGACGCGTTTGTTGTAAACTACGGCATACTTGTATCGTTAAAGAAATTACCATTAAACAATCAACCGCATTGTAAATCTCCAATCATCAATAAAATATTTTTTATGTGAATACTAGACGTTTTAGAAATTTTGAATTTCTGTATAATTTAATTAATAAGATAATTTATTTAATTTAATCGAGTAATAGCTAAGGGCAAAATTAAGATTGAAATTATGTGGAGTCCCTTTCTAAATATTTTTCAGATTTTTTAAATTAATTTTTATTTATTAAGAATTTAACACACAAAATACATTTCTCATTTTGTTATCGTCATAAATGATAATATTAACAGATAATAGCTACATTTAAACTGTTCATTTTATAGGCCACGTCTTATATCCTAAATTCAACTTTCAATTATTGCGTCTCCTCGGCATAAACAATTGGTAAATGACCTATCTTCTCTACGATCAGGCTTCTCTTTTTGTGACTCAATCTAAAATATAGGTCAAACCGCAATATAGTTCTCTCGATGTAAACGTAGCTATTAAAAATTGACCGCACACTTCTGAAGTTGTCGATCTCAGTTAGGAACAGTGAGATAGCTCGAAGCGTATCACTCTCTTTTTAAAGAATCGAATTGAAGAGAGATGCTGATATGCTCAATTATTTCTAATAGAACACTGATGCTAAAGTGATCCTACACGGTCAATAATATTGTCAGTATAACAAATATTGACAGGATTATTGATCGCATTTTATTAATATTGATAGATTGACATGGAATAAAAGTGACACTGATTTGAATTTTGATTCTCTAACATCAATATCGCTTTATTAAGATCCATATCACAGTATGTCACAGTGCAACAGAAAATATACATAAAACTAAAATGAAATATATTATCAATAATATTGATCGTGTAAGGTTGTGTGTAAATATTAAAGGTATTGATATTATACAATGAAAATAAACTAAATGTTTATATACTATTCTAGAAACTGAATAAAAATGTAAAGATTCGATTAAATCCGCATAATCGTTGTATTCTATGATTAGCTCGTGTAATTGATTAATTTTTTTTCTTGCAATGCAAAATAAAAATCAATTGCACTTCTTAATTAATATACTCGTATTACCGGATTGTAAACATTAAATAAAGCATTCAAATTTAATACGCAAAAATATTTTAGAGCTGGATATTTTTCTAAATTGCTATTTTATATGTCGGTCCTTCAGCGTAAGACACGCTCGCGCGGAAACAGGATGCACCTGTCACGATACATTACTGCCGTATGCTTATCTGCGACAAAACACGTCACGCGCAATCTTCCTCGACCCATTCTCCATATTCCATATATACGCGAGAAAATAAGGCTGCTCGGCCACTAAGGGAACGTGTCAGGGCCTCGTGAGAAAATCTGTTCTCATCGTTAATCGCAACGCCGGATCTGGCGAGACGAGTCGCGCATCTTTCCGTCGATCATGCGATTAGAAGGGACAATCATACGTTCTCTCTTTCGTTTTTTCTTCCGTTCTTCATTTAGTCATCGTTTGCTTTCTCGTGGCTGCGATCGTTTCGTAATTTCCTGCCGTGGCTATTGGATTGTAGACTGATTGACAAAAATTTTTCTGATCGTTACCCTGTTTCGCAATCACGCTGTGCAATTACCTGCGAGTGAAACGGACGACTAGAATGCGGCTTATGACATTTTGACGATCGGACGGAAGACAATTTGCGAATAATGCGTGCTTTAACTTCCGACTATTTCTGAGAAACTCGACTTTTCGCTTTGAAATCGCACGTGGAGAAGCAATTTGCTTGGCCCACTCTCTCGCGGTATTTTTAATTCTGACTATTCGTCTGTTATCTCGTACTGATACAGTATCAGATACACATCTTTGGAGTACTTACATCTCAGTTGCACAAAATGCTGTCGCAAATTTGTCGTAATAAAAGTTATAATTTTTACTATCTGATAATATAATGGTTAATTAAGGGTCACAATTAATTTTTATTTTACATTGTAAGAAGAAAAAATTATGTGATTCTGATAAATCATGAAAACAAAATTCAATCGTTAAAATTCAATTACTTAAACTAATCATCGAATACGACGATCATGAAATTTAATCGAATCTTTTACTATCATTTTTATCGTATTTATTTCTGTTTAAGTTTATTCTTTGATACAGAATAAACCTCGCATTAACATTTCAATAACTCGATCATCTTATTAAATAAATAAGACTCAAGATCTCAGATCTTTACATTTAACGCTAAATGCACAACGTAAATAGAGCACTAAATCTCTACTAACGATCCTTTGAAGCTGTCGAAGAAATGTCTCTATTTATTATATTATGAACGTGCATGAAACCGTAACAGCAAATTTGCAGCAAAAAGCGAAGGCTGTACATTGAAATATAGGCCAGGATTAAAAAAGAAATGAATCTTCAGTAGATCAATAGAAGAGATAATCTGTTTTCTGAAGGCGTAATAAACTAAAGTTGATGTGATGACTATATATAAGACTCGTGTATTTAATTGCTTGGCACGCTAAGTGATTTCGCCTAATGCAGAAATTAATTATCAGATGCATATAGGATTGTAAACAACATTTCTTAGAGAAAGAGCATCTGAGCAGTGATTATCGTACCAATACCTGTAACCATTGTACAAATTGAAGATACCATCAGAAGTATGTCATGATGCTTGAAGAATGCATGTTAATTTCTTGCATTTTTATCGTGTATTCAATGTACATAATAATATATATAAACTCGATACTTTTTTAATACTTAATTCAATAAAAATTTTTGTGACGAAACTACATTGACATGTTGAAAGAAAGATAAATGGAAATGGTCATATGAAAAATATAGATGTAGAGATAATATAGAGTCGCGAATATAATCATTATTTATTTCTGAATAGAACGATGTACATATGTTATGATAATAGGATATCTATCTTTGACTTTAAAAGATTTTTTTTAGGTAATAAAAAAAAATGATAAGAAAATCTACATAAACGCATAATTACATAATATTGAATTTTTTTATGTTTGTAATATTTTTTCTTACGTGTTTTCCTTTGCTGAATGTAGTACTTTTTTGGAGAAGAGAATTTTATAACAGAATTATATATACTTTTTTAAGAACAAATGTAACCAAAAAAGTTACGTCAAAATACGAGACTATCGTATAAGGTTTTTGTGATCATATTTCACAATGTGGCACAAATTAAATTGTACAAAAATGATTTATCTCAACACTTTGCAATTAAGTACGATGAGATATTCTTAAGTAGAGGAAATTTTTCAGGACGTATATCTATATATCAACATCTGTTGGATTTAATATTTAATGATAATAATATAATTCATTTGGTATATAAGAAATACTCCGAATCAGAATACTCGGCATAAATTTACGTTATGAAGAATTAAATATTTCGGTTGGCATACAGCTTTGGTGTATATACGTATACATATATAACGAACAGCGCGCAATTGTTTGCGCAAGGTCAATGACCTGTCACATCTACGAGTTGCCACGCTACCGGTGCGTGGCGCTATGATTCGCACGATGATGTTTTAGTAGGAAAATAGTGGCACATTCGTAATATCTTTCAAACTACGTTTTCAATAATCAATCCACGCATTTAATTGCTTTTGTAATTAACAATATGTAATATCGACAACGATGAAGTAAATATCTCGCGTTTATTCATTTGAAATAGAAATCACAGCGACAGAGAATAAGAATTATAAATCTATTTTACTGTGACATTTATAGTCATATATTGCAACAGGGTTGCCATAAAACTGAAAATCAGGAAAATTGAAAACAAGGAAATTAGGGAAAAGTCAGGGGACATCGTAACTTTCTGAAAAATAAAAATTCTGAATATAAAAAAATTTGATATGCTTACATCACATACTACACGCAGATTTTTTGAATACTATCAGTTCAACAATTAAATACAAGCAGTGTTAGCAACATTAGTAATAATTTATATTGCTATGTTAAATTGCTCCGTCAACAAAATATTGTATATAACAGTTTTCAAATCATAGGATAAAAATTAAAAAAATTTTAAGAGATTATTGAAAGTCGGGGAAGAATCATGAAATTTTGTCTAGAAGTCAGGGAAATGTCATAGAATTTTAAGATAAGGAATTTATCAAAATACTTTTCTCTCATACTATGTGTGGGAGAATATTTGTTAATAATAATATTTATACTCGCGGTTGCTCGCAATTAAGTTCTAGTTTGAAATTGAGATAATTAATAATAGATATCACATAATATTAATTATTGTTTATTTTTTATCTTTCCATGCAATATAATTAAATTTCATTCTTATAAAATTAAACAATGATCTCAAATTTTTTATTTTTAAAGTCTCGAAGAACATTACTTGCGTGTGCATTTGACACAAGACATGTGTTTCTTAATTACAGTATATGTATTATAAACATAACTGTGATGGAACATTAATTACTTGGGAGTAATGGAGCATTATTTTTTTTTCTAATATGACATGTATAGACATAAATTGCTCGAAGAAAAATTCTCCTCGCAACATTACGTTGATATAACATGAGAAGATTCAGAGAAAAATTTGTTGCAATGAGGTATTGAATTCTACTTGACTGCATTATGCACACGAGTATTAAGGTCACGGGAAATCGTTAGTAAAATAGAATAAAAATCACATCTGATTCATTCAAATTACAGTGAACCGAATTTTATTCTCATGCATATATTTTGTTATTCGCAAAGAGATACGATTTATTTATTGTCTTTGGCTTTAACTTTAATTTTTATCACTTACAAAAACGTTTTTTTATTTGTTATAGTTATAAAAAGTATAGGACGTATATTATTGGGAATTAATAATTATTACATATTGATTGATATTTGTTACATAATGGAAATTTTCTACTTGTGTGTGAAACAAACATTTTGTCTCACATTGAATTTTACAGAGGGAGAGAAAAAGAAGAGTAGGTTTATTGATTGATAGCGCGCACGCGAATAAAAATTCTGATAAGAAACAGATCTCTCTGTTGGGAAATATTTTATGAAATGTAGTAATTTCTTTTTCTTGTTTTTTGTAAAAACTATGTTCTTTCTTCGAAACACATCGCCTATACAGAAAATATTTGCAGAATCTTTTTTCGAAATACAAGTACAATATTTTTTATTAAAAATATACTCTCTTATTTGTTGTTTTTCCTAACTGAAACTTCGAAATTGCAAACATATGTAATTGCCGTTATAATTAAAATATATAATATATGTAAATCGTTTCAAATGTAACATCAATTAATTTTTTGACTAATATAATTAAAGAAATTAATTAATTTTTATCTTTTCAAAATGTATTCTAATAAATTTTTAGACACAAGTAAAAGTAAAAATATCTAAAAGTTAAAAAGACTTGCCATGTACTCTCGCTTCGTTGCTTATCAAAAGAAAAATTCAAGCAGATGCGATCTTTTCCTCGACTTTTGCCTTTGACTTACACGGCGCACATTTTATGAAACAACTATAATATCGATATTGCCTCGATCTATGTATATCGCAGAATCTAGTTTTTTCTAGTCTATAGTGCATGCATTACTTATAGAACGGAACGAAGGATGTAATGTAAAATTTAAAAGATTACGTATACTTACTTAAAGATAACAATTTTAAAAACAATTTTGATCACGCGAGTCGCATTTTTAACAAAAGTGCCTTCTTTAAAATTGTTATGAGTCTTAAAACTTTTTAAATATATGTATATAAAATCATAATTTTAAAATGTTACGTATGTATATAAATAGTCATAATTTCAAAATATGTACATAAATTTTAATTATTATTTATTTTTACATAAACTTTGTTTATTCAAAAATAAATAATAAAAATTTCAAATTCTCCAAATTATTCTAAAATAATAAAATAATTGTGTTTCAAACTGTCCTCTCGTAATGCTATTTAAATTTTCAATATTAAGAGATCTTTCTCTTGATACCAATGCGCGCTATGCATAGTGGATGAGAAATTGATGTGAAATTGATATACTCTTATCGAATAAATCGATAAGAATTTCTCTTAAAAGTGAGATGCATATAAATTATTCAGAAGTTCTTATATATATATATATATATAACACGTTGTCGCTGCTCATCGTTGGTTTTCTTTCTCTTTTGTCTGTGTACCTTTTACGGAACTGCAACGATCGTTCAAAGAATAGCCCTGGAGACGACCTTAACCCATTCGAAATAGCTTCAACTTTTTCGTCTCTCTCTTTGAGAATAGCAATTGCAATACGTGGAGAAACACTGTTCGGATAAATTATAGATGACGTTCTACGAGATTACCTTGCATCATGCACGCATGCTATTGGGATGACTGATCCGCATAGTTATTTAAGCTTAGTGAACCCATGAACCCGAGCTCAATATAACGCGGATACTCACGTGCTGTGTTTACACATCATATATACTCATGTGTATCGACATATATATATACATTTCTGCAAATGCAATAAGCTTCTAAATAGAATTAAATAGAAGTAAGATACACAATCTAATTTTCAACAGTAATAATAAGAATAGACTCACATATGGTATTCTTTAATTAAAAAAGATAGCAAGCACAATATTCACAATTGAATAAACGTTAAGCGTATATTTACGATCTTATTGATTCTCTAATACTTGCGATGCATACAAGAAAGATTTCAAAATTTAAGAAGAAATTGAAATATATAGTTAAAAATATTAATAGTTTTATTTTTTTCATTTCTTGTCAATTGCTTAGATTTGATTTTTAAAATTTTTTAATTTTTTCGTATAAAGATACAGACTTTTTTGTTTTTGTACATAATTACTATTATATTAATTATAATACGTGATTATATTTCTAAAATTATATTTTTATTTTCCCTCTGAATTAACAAAACGCTGCTACAATATTAACATATTTATCGGTCATCAAGTTGAGAATATTAAAAAATTGTATTTTTTTCTTTTTTATATAAGTATTGTAATAGATTATTAAAGTGACGTGATGAAAAAAATAAGAATTTAAATTTGTAGTATACATATATAATATCTTAATATTAAATCATATTTAAATTCCTAACGTATTAAATATAATACAAAATTAACTCACTAAAGAAATTATATCGCACATTTAGATACCATCAATTATGTAAGTTATGCTTTAATCAAAATTCTGATATTTTTATGGTAGAAATAAATATGTTAGAAATAAATAAATGTCATTATTCCTATATAGAACGTTAAAAGAAATGATTAATATTATTTATATATCTATATATTTAATTAAAAATCACTTTCTTATGCAATTTATATTTTATATAAAACTTTTTTATTACTTATATCGGTCATAATATCTTGGAGGAAGATACAAATACCGATATAAATCCAGAAAGATTTTATATAAAATATTTATTAGCTTTATAAGAAGTTCTGCTTTTTCTATAATTAATTTTTCTGGCTCATTTTACAAACGCACGTGATGATATATAGCTTCTTCCGCGTTTCATATTCTTCCGCATAATTCCTGACAATGTTCTCATTAACATGGACCGTCGTGCTTGTAAGCAATATCTGCAAAAAGGAGAACGTTATCTCGTTATCCAGCTTTGAAGGTGCGATTGGTTTGCAATCAATTGACTTTTGTCTTGAAAGCAAATCTCCTGCATTCTCCACAATCTACATTGTCGTGTTTCACCACACGAGTATGCATGAAATATGATCTTAATCGACACAATCAACATTGTTAATGTCGCACACGAATATCACGATTTGTCCTGCGACGTAATTATATACGTAGTACAGCTCAATAGAATTTATTTCGCAGGATTATTTCTTCCGTTTGATGCGCATACGTAACGAGGTGGTACACCAGATAATTCCGAAAATTACTGTAAAATTACATTTTTCCTGTTATATCAAAAATACGCATCTGCGTACGTAGAGACAAATCTCGAAATTACGTGAAGCTCGTGTATACATAATTTTACGCGATATAAGCAAGTTAATGAGCGAAGAGAATTTCAAGTGAAAATGCCTTCGCGTGAATGCGAGCATTATGAAGAGAAGAGTTCGTCCGAGATTTATTATAGATATGGTTTACAAATCTCACCTTTTTCAGGAGAGCGTAATTTGGCGCACCAAAGGGCTTCTGGACTCACATAGGATCTACCGTCGGTGCCACACACCGATTGTCTGTGCTCTTCTTCCGGTACCGAACCGCAAGGATGATCATCCGGTCCGGAACATGATCCGTGATGCTTCAAAAATACGTCTACAAAATAAAATGTTAATAAACGAGTGGAAAAGTTATATTTTTGATATATTTTACATTTACGTGTATAAACAATTATAATTATTTTTTTTTATTTTTCTTAAATAATATTTCATGTAACCCAAACGATCCATTCAATTTTTTGTGATTTAATATAACATGAATATATTAAAATATAACACAAATATTATATAAAAATTAATTTTAAGGTATAACGCTTTCATACAATTTGAAAATAAATCGTGGAAACATTTCTTTAATAAAATTTATATTTATAATAAGTTAAAATAATATTTATCTTTTATTCACATTAATCTTAAAATTTTCAATTTAAAACTACATTATTTTTATGTCATTTATTTACTTACTTATAAATTATTTTATTGTATTTTAAAAATGAGAAATATATATTGAACATCAATTTAATACAAAATAATCAAGTAATGTAATCACATTATATTAAATTAACATTCAGATATGTTAAAAATTCAATAAATAAATTTTCATAAGAACACCGATTTTAACTCAAGTACAAAATATTTTTGTTACGTATCATTATTCTCGTGTAATAATTTATATGGTACAAAATCTATACAAAAACGGAAAATAAAAATTCTACGCATATATAAATTTTATTGAAACTTAAATATTCTGCTATTTTTATCTTTTTTTCTAAGCTTACTGAATAAATGGAGCGTAATGAAAATAACTGAATTTTCGAGAGATGCTAGTCAGCGATGTGTTTAACAATTGGACTGGTACACTTGAATGCACTTTGAAATAGCTGTCTCTTCGGTGTCGAGTCTTTCTCTTTATCTCTCTTGCGATGCAAAACTCACATTTATCGTGACGAGTATGGCATTGCAAGTGATGTATACTCTGATACGTGCGACCGTCGTTCCCGCAAACCTCGTCGTCCGCGGTGAAGTCGTCGTTCGCGTATTCACCATTTGGCAATACCGTTGTATTTGTGTGTGCCTCTATGCAGGATTCGTGGCTGTGTGTATCGCACTCTCCGTTCAAAATTACGTTCAGGTCTGAATTTAAAAATGTAAGCTACATTCGAGACTTTCTGAGATAAAAAGTAAACTATGTACATTTGCACACTTTCTAAATTAAAAAGTCTACATTTGTTATATTCGTGCACTTTGGGCTATTATTGAGTAAATAAAAGTGAACTATAAGATGTATAAATGATTAGTTTTTGCATAAATGAAATCTGTGTCTTTTTTGCATTAAATAATCAAAAGTTATCTCAAAATAAATGCATCTTTTTAAACAAAATAAAAATAAATTTTTGTTATATAAAGATGAAGAACTACGCTCTTGTATTAACGACAATTTACTACCATATAAAATAAAACTTCATCAATATTTTAACATTACAATTGTTCGAAGAAATCGATTCGAAACTCGTGAAAGTAACCGTCAATAAAATATATAAAATTATTGATATCTTATACAATAGAATATATTATTACGTACGTGGGCGGTAGCAAAGAAAGACGAAAGGATTCGGATAAGTGATTCCGTCGGATGCGCAGACCGGATTCCATTCGTATCTCGCTTTCGCGATGCCACAAACCGCTGTACCATAAAGCTGATGAACAAATTCCACACGACAACCACCGTCGTGAATAATTTTCAATCCTATAAAAATAAAATAAATTTTGAGGCTGTGTAGTGCTTCATGATCAATCGAATGTATAATAAATACGTATTCGATACGCAGACAATATTTTTCAATGATTCTTTATATGATTTTCATATTTATAATAAATCAATTAATTTTTATAGCGAATTTTTGTTGCGAAAATATAATATTGCGAATATTTCATATGAATTTTAAATCCGCTTTTACGATGTCATCCAAATTTAATTTTTATATCTTAAAACTTATCTCAATGTCGCGTTTAGTCTCGTCGCAAGATGAAATTCCAGTTGCTCTAATTTCTCTATTCTAAGAGTTATGGTAATACCGTATACAACAAATCTCGGAGATATCTCGCTACGATCGTTCCGTGCATTAATAGAAAATGCAGTCTGAATCTACAATTGCCGTTCGCGTCAGGCAGCTATCTTAATTCGGATGTAAATCGTAATCCATCGTCCGCAGAGGGATAACCGGGTTATGCCGACGAAACATTTAGTTCAAAGTAGAACTCTAAATTAATTCAGCGCCAACACGACACAAGACTTAAGAGAGTGCGAAGGTATACTGGCGCACGAAGGAGTTTGAACGTTATTTCCGTCTACTTGCTGGCAATTAGGCGAGTCATAACTAAACGCTTCCGCATAACTTCCCGTCATAATCCCTTACCGGAATTATATCGTTGCATGCACTTGAGCTGAGCCGCGTTTTGATAAGTGAGCCCGTTATTAGCGCAGATCGGATTTATCCCGTAATGTTCGGTTCCACCTCGATAACAGGGATCGTTCTGTGGACAATCTGTCATTGGCGCAGCTGTTAAATCTGAAACAGATCACAGGAAAAAATTCACAATTGAATGGGCAGTAAATTTTTTTTCATTTGTGATTAGCGATTAACCAAAGTGTGATTAAAATATCAAAGCAACACGAAAAACGACTATCTTTGCTGAAGTATCTAAAAATTTATAGTGTTTTCCACTGGGAGAATAAGTACAACACTGCACATTTAGTACAATTAAATGTAAATCAATTTATATAATTTTAGTACTAATAAATAATTTAACCGTTTTAATTATATATCCTTTGTTGTCACGATAACCTCGTAACCTTAAAAGTATTAAATTATTTATTAATACTGAAAATATGTAAACTGATTTGCACTCATTTGAATGTATATGTATATTAAACTAGTTTTCTCAGTAGGAAACACTATTGGATAAATACAGATTTGAAATATTTTTGTTGAACATTAAATTAATATAGAACACCTAAATTTGATGACAACGTTGCAAAAAGTTTTAATATTAAATCAATCAGTTTAAGCGTCTTACTTAATTATTTAATGATTCAAACAAAATCGTGTTCAAATATGTATATCTAACTAAATTTTTTAATATTCTGTCGAAACCGTTTTTCCATGTGAGAATTAAAGTTTATTTATATTAAATTAAAAATCTTAATAAAAATTAAAAAAAGCTGTACAAAAATATAAAATTAAAAGAGAGAGGGCCTTCGGAATAAATCTATAACATAGAAAATGAAAAAGGCAATAAGAGCCAAAGCAGTTGTTAGTGTGCAAATAAAATATATTCAAAATATATAAATTAATTCAATATCTTTGAAATAAAATATATCGAATTATCTTTAATTAGTCAAAGATGCGACTATAATAAATAGTGTCACTGTGCTTATGGCTTATGCCGAGAGACATTATCGTATCTTAGGATAATGAAAAATACAATGTTTCTCTTAATAAATAGAAGTTTTTAATAAATTCAGTAATTTTTTTTACGGAAAGACTCGATGCACATCAGCGTCATCAAATTTTTATTTTAATATTTAAAAATTAAATGTATACATCAAATATACACGCAAAAAATGAGACGATTAATATCATCTGCGTTTACCTCTGAATTGCTTTTGACGAACGCACAGCAAAGATTGCATATTAGAGTAAATCTTATGGTCCGAACCGCAAACTGGATTATAATACAGATTGACGTTACAATATTCTTCGTTTCCCAAGCACGGGCCAGAGTGTAAAGTGGCAACTGAAAGAAATGTTAAATCACAAGAAAAAATATTGAACAAAAATTTTTTAATATTTAAACTTTTATGCAATTCTAATGTAACGTATGAACATCTCATTATTATCCCAAAATTTAGTATTATTAATTTTTAATTTTTGTCAATATACGAAAATTAATATACATTTTAAGAAATTAGTGACATATTTAAGAAACATTTTGTTATTTTGATTAATTTGTATATTTTAATTTAGATACACATAATATATTTTATAAAACTGTTAAAGTAAATTGTAAAATATTGTATTATAATAATATAATTTATGAAGGACGACTTATACATTAATATTTCATTATAATTCCAAAATAACGATATATATATTTATTCATACATCATTAATTTTTGCTAATTGAAACAAAAAGATTAACTTACCGATTTCGCGGCTATGGTAATTTTTACAATCTAAATAAAAGCTATTAGCGTATGTCACGCCGTTGTCGCCGCATACTGGACCGCCATATATATCCGATTTATCGAAAATCGTACAATTCTGATATAATGCCACCTTGTCATCTAAGGTAAGCGCAAGTGCCATTTTATTGTACATCCTGATCACTGTAAGATTTTTAATTTTTTTACAAGTCATTTTCACATTTTCTCAGAAAAAAAATCTACATATCCGCGGGTAAAATTATTTAATAAAACTCATATATTAATCTCGGCGAGAAATGTATCAATGAAACTCAAATTACCGAAAAAAAGAAGATAATGATATAAAACGTAACGTGAAACTGAAAACGGCATTATGCTGCAAATACAGTTTTCGTTTGTTGAAGAACTCGTCTCGACTATGTTCGATTGTGCACCTGCACCGCTTTTTTCCTCGATTGAATATATCGTTATGCATTCCTCTCGTCGTAATAATCAGGGAAATTCGATATCGAATACGTGTCACTGCCAGGCAACGCTAGCGAAATCAATCGTAACAATGCGTCATTATTGATCCTTCGTCGCCAATTTATCCTACCGATTTAAACGTGATCTGTCATGTAAATTAATATTTTGTCGCGCACACGTAAAAACACGTCATGAATAAACATTCTACGTAATACGTTCTACGTAATACGTTCTTTTATCGGCAAATTAATCAGCATTAATTAAAAAAGGTGACGCGTAATGGCAAAGAACGTGAAGAAAGCAATAAAAAAAGAAAGGAACAAAGAGAGAGAGAGAGAGAAAGAAATAAAATAAAACTTATTATTTTCTTAATAATATTAATTATTTATTAATTATTAGTGTTAATATTAATATATATATAAGTAAATATTCTTTCCTTCCTTTTCTTTATTTCCATATATAAAATGGAAAAAATGGACAAATGAACTGTATATACAAATGAACTTTATTGTTAATCAAATAAAGCGCGGTAATTGTTGAGTAGAAAATTCTTCACGATAACTTAAAAATTAATCAGATCCATTTACTAGCACTATAAAAAGATTATATGCTTTAATTTATAAATTTACGGAATGTAAGATACATTATCTTACACTTCGTAAATATTTCGGGAATACTTTTAGAATGTTTTTTTTTTTAATTTTACGAACCATCTATAAATATTTCAGGAATATTTAGCATTATCTGGATTATCTTACAATTTGTTTCATTTCGGACTTGAAAATAAAAAGAAGGAAGAATAAAAAATCAAAATGCAATTAGACAAATGTACGATAAAATAAAAGTGAAATTATTTTGTAATTTGTAAGATTTATTTACTAATTTTTTTTATCTTTGATAAATATGCGCGTATAAGTATTACTATAAGAATATGCTTTATTAGTATTGACACTTTTCATTGAGCGTTACCGACTCAGCGTCGATAAGTCAAGCCGCTACTATAACCCAGCGAATTAATGCTCCGCACTATACATGAAAAAGGTCGGGATATCCATTAGTTGTCAGGTTTCTGTTTGGTGATCTGATGATATTGCGCGCTCGAAAGATAAATTCTTTTTTTACAAGTAATGTTATTTGCCGTGCACGGGCGCCATTTTCGTTCGCGACATCGGCCACGTCTTCATGGCAGGAATATCGTGTTTGGAGCCTTGTTAACGTAGCGATAATTTGGGGCTTGCAATAGTGGATCGTGAATAATCAACAGCAACAAGATGGTACGTAGAAAAAAAACCAACAATGCGAAACTATGTGCACTGGAAAACCGTGTCAACGCGCAACAATACTCGAGTAACAATTGTCATGTGCTCGTCGCGTTGACATTTATTCTTGGGACACGTCAAAACATCCACTCCCTTCTAGGATGATGAAAAATCCACCCGTATAATGTAATTAAAAAGATCTTATTTTTTTCTGCGTGAATTTCATGAGAAGAATAAATTCTCTAATCGCTAATCTCACGTAATGTGCGTGTGTTTTGGAATGAAAACTACATGAAATGATAATCTTGATGACAACAAACAATACAATATGAAATCAAACGCATTAATCAAGGATCTTTTGCCTTAGCCTTTACGATTAGACATCAAACGGAAGCTGACGGCTAGATCGGACAGAGTGAAGAGTGTGGATCTTCACCCGACTGAGCCATGGATGCTCTGCTCACTGTATCAAGGCCATGTCAATATCTGGAACTACGAGACACAGACCCTGGTGAAGACACTCGAGGTGTGCGATCTGCCAGTACGGACAGCGAAGTTCGTGCCACGCAAGAACTGGGTCATCACTGGCTCTGATGACATGCAGATCAGAATATTTAATTATAACACCTTGGAACGTGTTCACTCGTTTGAAGCACACAGCGATTATGTTAGATGTATAGCTGTACATCCAACACAGCCGTACATACTTACAAGTAGTGGTAAGTTAAAAGACTCATCTATATATCAAACAATATCAAATCTTATTTGGATCGTGAGAGTTTTAAAACTAAATACCGATGAGAATAAACCGTTTATAGTCAAGCTGGATCTTGGATGCTTCTAATATAATTTCGTGTGAATTTATATACTATGTGTGTAGATCCTTAAATGCACGCCAAAATTTGTTCAGGCTTACAACACAAACTAATAAACTACTGCAGTACTATCATGAGTTAAATTGAATAACAATCTAACAATTTTTGATTCTCATTGTATCTTGGAACTTAATAATATGTTGAATGATATTAAAATCTATGAATGGCATAATAAAAATCTGTAAATAATTTACTTACATTGCGAAAAATATTACCTCGGTCAGGAGGTTGAACCCGTATCGCCTGCTATTATATTAGAAGCATCTAAGATCCAGCTTGATCGTAAATGACTTATACTTATCTATTAAATTTTTAATAAGATTTTAATACAGAATAAGATTAAAATTTTTAATAAGAATTAAATAGTTAGGTAGCTTATACCTATTTCTATCAATATAAATTTTAATCTCAGTTCAACTTCATCTTTTTCTAATTCTTATAATTAGAACCCAGATTAAAATTAAACTAAATTGATAGATACAGGCATTAAAATGATTTATTAAAGATATATAAGTTGATAGATGGAGTAAGAACATCTCTTAATAAAATTTTTAATTTTGTAATTATATTTTTTATTAATGTATTATGTTACAGTTAAATTTATATTAATTATATATAGATCCTTATGAGAGAAATAAAAATAATGAACTTTAAAACTTTTGGATAATACTTCTTATTTTTCAGAACAAAGTTTTAAAGAAAATTATATCTGAGACGTTGTCTCGTCTATAATATTTAAAAACTAAGTTTATTCCTGTATAATTTATAATGTAGCAATGATTGTTCTTTGTAGATGATATGTGGATAAAATTATGGAACTGGGAGAAAGTCTGGATCTGCCATCAAGTATTTGAGGGTCACACGCACTACGTCATGCAGATTGTATTTAATCCAAAGGACAACAATACTTTTGCCAGTGCTTCCCTTGACAGAACCGTCAAAGTGTGGCAGCTCGGTTCGTCTACGGCTAATTTTACTTTAGAAGGTCACGAGAAAGGTGTTAACTGCGTAGATTATTACCATGGTGGTGACAAGCCGTATCTAATATCAGGAGCTGATGACAGATACGTCAAGATATGGGATTATCAAAATAAGACTTGTGTACAGACTTTAGGGGGCCACACACAAAATATTTCCGCTGTATGTTTCCATCCAGAATTGCCGATCTTTCTCACGGCCTCGGAGGATGGTACCGTTAGAATATGGCATGCAGGAATGTATAGATTGGAGTCTTCTCTTAACTATGGCTTCGAGAGAGCATGGACCATAGCATGCATGCGAGGTTCGAACAACGTTGCCATCGGATACGACGATGGTAGTGTTATGGTTAAAGTCGGACGAGAAGAACCGGCTGTTTCGATGGATTCATTGGGTGGCAAGATCGTGTGGGCTCGTCACAGCGAGATCCAGCAAGTAAACTTAAAAGCGTTGGGTGAAGAAGCACAAGATGGAGAGCGGCTACCGTTAGCTGTCAAAGACATGGGTGCCTGTGAAATATATCCACAGACCATACAGCACAATCCAAACGGGCGATTCCTAGTGGTCTGCGGTGATGGAGAATACATTATATACACATCAATGGCGTTGAGAAACAAAGCGTTTGGACAGGCATCAGAATTCGTGTGGGCAGCAGATTCAAGCCAATATGCAGTGAGGGAAGGTAACACGTCAGTAAAGGTCTTCAAAAACTTCAAGGAGAAGAAAAGCTTTAAGCCAGATTTCGGAGCAGATGGTACGATATCTTTTATTTCTCTTTTTATTCTAACTTTATTTTTATATGCATTTTTCCTTTTGTATTATTTTATTTTTTTTCTTTGCTATTATTCTGAGAGAATTAGTCTTAGAACGTTAATAAATGTAGAATCTATCTCTCTTCATGTAGATGACTCCTCTCTGTATATCATTGTCGATTGCAGGCATCTTTGGTGGATTTTTACTTGGTGTCTCGTCCGGATCTGGCCTCTCCTTCTTTGATTGGGATACATTAAAGTTGGTCCGTCGCATAGACATACAACCTACGCACGTGTATTGGGCCGAAAATGCCTCGCTAGTGGCGTTAGCTACGTCAGACCAATATTTTATACTAAAGTATCACTCGGACGCTGTCGTTAATGCCACGGAAAACTCTGAGGATATTGAAAATGCGTTCGAGGTAGGCGACGTTTGCACGCTTAGTTGATTTAGCAAGCTATGAATATTTTCTATATTTATTATTTAACAATACAATCGAAAATATAGCATATGGCCTCTGAGAATAAATCTATTAAAAAGAGGAATAAAAAGAGAGTATTTTCTATATTTCTAATTTTTATAAATAATATTTTTAGATGGTAGCAGAAATGAGCGAAGTGGTGAAAACTGGCTTATGGGTCGGAGATTGTTTCATCTACACTAACAGCGTCAATCGTATTAATTACTTCGTCGGCGGCGAAGTGGTCACTGTCTCCCATCTGGACAGACCAATGTACCTGCTGGGATACGTACCAAGAGACAACAGATTATACCTTTGCGATAAAGAATTATCTGTCGTCTCGTATTCTTTGCTATTATCAGTACTGGAATATCAGACCGCAGTCATGCGAAAAGATTTTGAAACTGCCAATAGAGTATTGCCGACTGTCCCGAAGGAACATCGGACGCGAGTAGCTCACTTTTTAGAAAAGCAGGTATATAATTTAAATATGATATTTGCAATTGTGTATAACTCTGGAATACTGCTAGAGATAAATTTTTCTTGCAAAAAAAACGGGATAAAACAAATTTAGGGAAAAGATTATTTAATTAGACGTGTAAATTGGAGCGTATGAAAGAATGTGAAGTTAAGATATCTTTTGTAAATCAAATCTCCTTGCTGAAACGAATAAAGTTCTATTCTACTATTTTTATCTCAATTTTACAGGGTTTCAAAGAACAAGCTTTGGCGGTGTCGACAGATCCCGAGCACAGATTCGAGCTAGCACTTGCGTTAGGAAACCTCGCAACGGCACATACTCTTGCCAAAGAAGCGAACAGCCAGCAGAAATGGCGACAATTGGCGTCCCTCGCCACGCAGAAAGGGAAACTTTGTTTGGCGCAAGAATGCCTGCATCAAGCGCAAGATTTCGGTGGTCTTTTGTTACTAGCTACCAGCACAGGAAACTCAGATATGATAGAAAAGCTCGGTACGGTGGCGGATGATACAGGAAAGAACAATATCTCCTTTTTATCGAACTTTATATTGGGCGATGTGGACAAATGTCTTGACATTTTAATCAAGACGGACAGAATTCCCGAGGCCGCTTTCTTTGCTAGGACATACGCGCCCAGTAAAATCTCCGCCATTATCAAATTGTGGAAAGAGAAGCTTTCAGCAGTAAGCGAGAAAGCCGGACAAAGTTTGGCGGATCCTGAGCAGTACGAAAATCTTTTCCCTGGATATAGAGAAGCCCTGAAGGTGGAAAAATTCTTACGAGAAGAAAGTAAAAAAAAGATTCCAGCTTCTGCATTTCCTGCTGTTACGGTACACTTATAAATGTTATTTATAAGTAGCGATATTAACAATAAGAATCAAATATTAAAATCTTAGTTATTGAAATGAATTGTGGCAAATACCGAGATACGCAATTAGTTGCGCGTTAAGCCGATTGATCGAAAAACAATAAACTGTGATCGCATTAATGCAACGCAAATCATCTCGCTGAGACCAATCTATTACTCGTCTCAATCTCGAACGACAAGTACAATAATAACAACAAAAGCGCTGCGAAGGAGTTGAATAATATTTTTATAGATACTCGTAATCACGTGATAAAATCGAGTCATGCTCGTTACTATGCTCGTGACAATAAAAATTTTACATTCCCGCATCTTTGTTATCGCGTCGTTATAGCTCAGGGGAACTATATAAAATCAATCTTGTGCTTGCCGATAAATCTTCCATTTTACCGACAAAGGACTTGTCATGTCATTATAAAATACAAATATAATTAATAATTACATAAAATATTTTAAAGAATATACGTATTTGTATATACATATTTTTGGATGCGTTATAAAGAAATTATATGACTGATTAAATTAATATGACTAAATAAATTGTATTAATGTTATAGTCCAATATCGAGCGAAAACCATTGGAGGAGATGTTGGCCGCCGAGCAGTCGGGCGCATTTCAATACAAGGACGCCGTGAGCAGTACCTCCGAGATCGAGGAGAAGCCGACTGAAGCAATGATCGACAGATTGCAGGATCTTTCAATATCAGGGATAAAGGACAACTTCTCCCTAAATAAAGCAACCACATCTACCGTGAAGCGAGAAGTATCTGAGAAAGTAACGACGAAGCCTACGAGTAGTTCCAGGCCTCTCACAATGGACGACGACGATTTAGACATCGATTTGGAAATCGACGATAATATCGATACTACAGTGAGTATGATATATTATAAATTTATAATGTTTATATAAAATTTTATAAATATAAAACTGTATGCATACTGTATGCAGCATACACTTATAAACATGCAATTTTAATTCTGTCTCTATTTTCGTTACTTTTATTCGCTTTGGATTCAAGAATATGCATTCTACAATTAGGAATATTTTATAACTTTATAATTTTTATTTTTACAATTAAAAGTGATCAATTTACCTCCATTAAAGTAATAATCTGTATACAAATCTTATAATATAAACATCAAGCTCGTAATCCTAAGATCTTTGAAGATAAGTCGAAAGTAAAGAAGGCGCGAACAAATAAGAGTTGGAGGGCGTACAATTAGGCGACGGTTTAATGCTCTTAAATATGGACGTAACTTTAGACGGGTATAGTATTACCAAAACACGGCAAGAAAGGGGCGCATATACCATACATGTATAAATCTCATGCACGTGCAGAATACACCAAAATGCACGTCCTATTTACATAACTCTTATATGTATATTATATATCATAAGGCAAATATACATGTAACGCGATTAATGCGTCGCTGAAAAAAGAATAAATCGCGATGATAAAAGTCCAAGTAATACTATAATATAAAAAATAGCGAGACAGCTTACACGATAATCTATTTAGATGTTCTTGGGATATTAACGATGCAATGAAAAATTAATAGAAA